TTTTAAAAAAATAGAGCAGGGTCCTATGGTGCACACCTGCAAAGCCAGTTACTTAATAGGCTGAAACAAGAGGATAGCGAGATTGAGGCCTGTCTGGGTAACGTAGTGAAACCCTATCTCAAAACAGAAAAACGAAAAGGGCTGGAGATACACCTCAGAGATACTGCACTTGCCTGGCACGTACAAGGATGTGGATTCAATCCCCAGTACTGTAATAATACTACTAGTAATAGAAAGTAGAAAAAAAATTAAAAAAAATAAAAAAGAAAGTAGAGACCATGTAATTCAAATCCTAAAACAAAGTTTCTCTATCAGATTACCTAAAATCTATTAAATCTCAGACTCAACTACAGATTAACAGATCCAATCAATAACAAGAGTACTGGGTTTTTCCCACAGAAATTTTAATGACAGTGATCTCAAAGCCTAATGACACAGAATTCCTAAAGTTCTAAAATAGCAAAAATCTGACCTAATTTTACAGTTCAAAAATGCCTAGGCTACTGGTTTGTGCAAGCAGGGCAAAATCCCTTCCACTCTCTTAATTCTGCCAAGACACCAAGTCACAATGACAGGGAGTTCTCTCGGCATTTCTCACAACGCCGAAGTCCCATCTGGATGGCAGTCATTTTGCAAATGGCAGAACACCACCTTCAGATCGAGTTTAAAATCCGTTTTGAATTTGCATTTTTCTGGGTGTGTTAAAGATAACGTAAGATCTGAATCCATGCTTTCCGCATCTAATTTATTTTTCTCAATTTGTTTTCTTTAGCATCATGCTTGCTACCCGTTCAAAGTCTCCCTTCTGTATTAACCCACACTTGAAGTTATTTCCAACCCGACAGAAGCAATAAACACAGAGAAGCAATACCGCGGATCATTAACATGGTATCCATCTACTGCACCGCCACCTAAAGTTCACCGCGTAAACAGGGGACATCGAATGACCACGGGGGGGGGGGGGGGGGCAGGGTCCCCGCGCCCCCACTCCCGCCGCAGCCGCCAGGACCCACCTCTGCAGCTCCTCCTCCTGGATCCTCTCCTCGTCCCACACGAAGACACCGGAGAGCGCCGCCATCAAGGCAGAGGCATGGCCAGGGCGGCCGCGTAGCCTGCGCCACAGGCGTCCTAGCAGGACGCAGCGCGAGCTCTCAGAGTAGAGGCGGCTGTAGAGCTGCGCGATCTGCTGCGCGCGCCGCACGCGCAGTCCCGTCACGAAGCGGCACTGATTGGCCAGCAAGCCCAGCAGGCCCCCGCCCCGCGCCCTAGCCAGCCAGGCGGCCAGCGGCCTCCGCGGAAACATGCTGCCGCTGCGCGCCCCCAGGCTCTGGGAAGAAGGCCGAGCGCCGCTGCACCGTCCGCGGATCCCCTAGCAGGCCGCCCCCGAGCCCGCCTCACGGAGCCACCGGCAGGCCCTGTCCCTCATGTCTCTCGGCGGCAACCGCCAAGGAAGGGTCCCCGCTCGAGGGGAGCGCCGATGCACCAAGCCCTCGGGGGCTAGGTCTCCTGCCTCCTCCGCGCGGCCGGCGTATGCCAGGGGTACTGTGGCACCGAGCACACTAGAAGCCGACCCTGGCTCCGGGTTCTGGGTCCCGGCCCCGGCTGCAGAAAAGGTTCTGAGCGTTCCGCCTCCGTCTCACGCGCTATCCGAGCACAACCTACCCATGTGCCCACCTCCTAGGCTCTCATTGGGTGAGGCTCGGACACCTGAGTGCTCATTGGCCTACCTCAAGGCTCGTCGCTGCTCACTCCCGCCTCTTCGCGCCCGCGCGCCGGAGCCATCTAGTAGCAAGGTAGGTTGCACGGCGCCGAGAGCCAGTCAAGGGCGCCGGGAAAAGTGATCGTTTGACCTGCTGCCATCGCCAGGTCCGGCTCCCCCAACCCTGCCCCGTGGAGGGGCGCGGCCAGGTGCAGTGGGGATCCCGCGCAATGCGCAGTTTGTTAAGAGCCGGGGCGGCCTCGGGTGTTTGAACTCGACCCTTGGCGGGGGCGAGGTCCCCACACCCTTTGTATGGGGAGTGGGGACGACCCAGGCCGGGGTGCGAGGTGACGCCGACACTCCTGACTAACGCGACATGCTCCGGCCTGCCCCCGCCCCCAGCCCAAGTCCGCGCGGCGCCGAGGTGGCCCCGGAGCGTCGGGGACCCGTAACGAACTGGTGTCACCTGCTGAGAACCCAGGACACTCCCGACAGCCACGTGCGCAGGTGGCCTGACGCAGACTGGAGATTCAGCAGCGCTTCGTGAGCAACCCTTCTCCCTGGGACCCCAAGGTGAAAGGTAAACAGGTTTCCTAAACCTACATTGATCGCCCTTGGGCAGCCTGGCTAAGTGACCTTGAAGGGTATTCAGTTGCTATTCTGTGTACCTCCCCATTACAGCAGAACCACTTGTTGAGTATTTCAGGTCGGACCAGAACTCACTATGTAGTCCAGGCTGGCCTCAAACTCGAGGGGATCCTCCTGTTTCAGCCTCCTGAGTGCTAGAATTACAGGCGGACGCCACCACACCCGACTAGGAAGCAAGGGAATTTTGCTGGGGAGACTGGAGTCAGATGCTTTCCTGGGCAAAGGCAGAGATCAGGCTTCTTCATACAGCACATGTTTAAAAATAGCAGACAAGACCACCTCAGGGGTAGAGAATTTAGCACAATCAGCAGTTTACTCTCTGAGGGGTTGGCGTCTTTGGCTGGTTTAAACCTGTTCCTTGTGGTCTTCTCGGAAGGACCTTATCTGAATAAGAGAGACAGCTAAGGGATGTTAACTGACCTCAGGTGAGGCAACAGCTTCTTGTCCGAAAGTTCAAGTAATTAACCCTAAAAGTTCATACCTAATAGCTATCAGGATGTCTTGTGGTGAAAGGGGCTGAGCTCCCTTGAGGCGTACATGAATTTCACTTTTACTGTAGGTAAGCACACGTGTGCAGTTTTACTTGTTCTTAGCAAAACTGTTTCTCCAAAAAACATTATGTTTTCCAGAAACTGAAGTTTAGGTCTCTCCTGTCCTCTCCTGGATGTCAGATTTTCCTGTGGAAATTGGTATTGATGTTTATTTCCCTTTGAAACCAGGTAAGGAAAAATATGTGTGTAGCAGAAAATAGTATCTGTCACTCTGTGAAGCCAGCCTTTTTCAGCGATGGGGGATGGGGAGCCATGGGCCAGAGCTGACCTGCCCCCTCCCCTGTGTCCTCTGTGGAAAGCCCGTTGAGGCCTGCGCAGGCCCTTGCCTTCTGTCCGTGGCTTGGGGTTGCTATCCGCCTCATAAAGCAAGTGGAGGAGTTGTCCTCCGGGAAGACAGAGTTGTCTTCTCCTCTGAAAAAGCCTCCTACATAGTTGGCGTTGGCATTTGCCAGGAATATGGCATTCTATAGGTCAGAGTTTTCAGTTGAGATCAAGAGAGAATACAGTTATTGTAAGTAGAAACCCACAGTGGGGTGGTTACCTCCAGAATTCATTGCTGTTCACTGACTTAGGACTTCTTGACAGACATAGAAGTAGATTTCCTAATTAAACGAAAAAAAAGCTGAGCGTGGTGGTATGTGCCTGTGATCCCAGCACTCGGAAAGTTGAGGCACACCAAGAGTTTCAGGCCAGCCTGAACTACATAAGGAGACCCTGTCTCAAAAAAAAAAAAAAACTTTTTTGGGGAAAGGGGTGCTGGGAATTGAATCCAGGGCCTCATGCCTGCTAAATGCTCTACCACTGAGCTCTGTCCCTATCCCCTAGCACAAATTCTTTGTTGATCATATGTTTTGGCCAGACACACAAGATAGTAATTAAAATTTTAAACTGCTTATGATCGTAAGTCTCTAAATTCATTTTTGTTGGTTGGACTGAGTTTTTATTTTTATTAGTAGTACACAAGACTAGAAAAACATACATTAAATTTTTTTTGTGTGTGTATAAATATGTCAGTTATTACACATAAAATTTTTTGGACACTTCTAATAAAATAGGACTGATCCTTTCCAATCAATATTATTGATTGACTATAATCACATAGCTAATCTGAAAATGCAATGTTAATCACTAATCTACACCTATTTTTTATTTTTATTGCGATAAGGAAACGTAGTCACATAAAAAGTAATGAAAGATGGCTCTTTAAATTTTGTGTTTGTGCTGTCTTGTATTATTTTCAATTTGGTCAAGTATCAGGAAAGCGATCAGTCCTCCCATCTGACTAGAAAGGGAGAAGACAGTGAGGACTAAAGAAAGACAATAGAGACTTGGATAATTTCAAAGTACTTTGTGGGGCTAGGAGGTCAGTACCTCAGAGTGGGCAAAGACAAAGATGCTCTGAGCTAGCCAGAGTTTATTGGGTACACACAATAATTGGAGAGAGTATCAGGTGATTTAGGACTCAGTGGTGATAATCTTATGTTGATGAGGGCAGTAAGGAGAGCATTCTTACAATAGTAGATGGGATGAGATAACAGGCTAATAAAGAATTTGTCCTTCCCCCAGGTGTGAAACCTTTCTCTTTATTACTACTCCCTCTTTTTTTTTTTTTTTTATCACTACTCCATTCTCCAAGAACCATGATATCTTCAGCTGACATACTCTTGCCCTTCCTTGAGCGGCACAGTATCACAGGACCACTGAGGCCTCAACTTGAGACCAGAGCGGAGTTATGTTTCTGGCACATTCCATAGCTGGCTCGTGGGCAAGGTGACATTGGGCCTTAGATAGCTAGTCATATAATTATGAAATGTTTTTCTCCAAAAATTATGTAGAATGGCTCTTGACAGTCAAGCTGGGTATTACCCAGAATTCCCTTCTATAGAGTATAAGTCTAGTTAGAGTTGGCCAAAAAGAAACTTGTACCAGATTGGGAGGCAGAAGTAAAGCATACAGTGTCTTGCTATGTAGTTGTGGCTGGCCTTGAACTCACTATGTAGTCCAAGCTGGCCTCGAACTAATGGCAATCCTCCTGCCTCAGCCTCTCAAGTGCTGGGATTATAGGTATGTGCCACCAGCTGGGCCCGGCTGGGCCATTTGTGAAATTTGTAGTCACATAGGATAATAAACGAGCACACGGTTAACTGATGGGTTCCAGCTTGTACTCACTCTTCTTTGCTGTCCCTCCAGGATTTCTCCCTGTCCCATGGCCCCAGCAAGAGTGCCAGACCAGCCTACAGGCCGCAGACCCACAGAGGCAACAGCTTCTCAAACTGCCAAGACTTCCAGCCCTTTGTCCTCAACTTGAAAGAGTCTCCTGGGCTCCCTTTGTCTGCCCTTCTCTCTGCTTCGACAGTTGACAGTCGTAGATTCACTGCCACAATCAAGTGGTAAACCGTCTCATCCCGTCATTCTGAGCAGTTCTCAGTGCCCCTTTGCAGCCAGTCCCTCTCCTCTACCACCAGTCTTGAGCAGCCATTGATCCTCTGTCACCGTAGTTTTGCCTTTTCCTGCAGGTGAATGAAATAACTGTACAGTCTGGGGTGTGTTTCTTCAGGCTTCTAACCCTTAGCATAATGCTTCTGGGATTCAGCTACCTTGTTTTATCAGTAGTTTGTTTGTTTTGTTGCTTAGTATTTCCTTATATGGATGCACTCGTATTTGTCCATTTGATGTTTGTTTCCATTCAGGCTGCTGTGAATATTTGTGCACAAGTCTTTAGGGTAAGCACACAGAAGACGGACTGCCAGGTTTTATGGTAAATATGTGTCAAACCATTTAGGAAACTGTTTTCCAAAGTAGTCCCATTTTGTATTCCCACCAATAGTATGTTTTGGTTGTTCTTATCCTTCCCAATACCTTCTTTTACTGCACTTTCTTATACTTTGTGGATACTGAATTTTGTACAAATTGAAGTTTTGTGGCACCCCTGTGTCAATCAAGTCTATCTGCAATTTTTCTAGCACCTCTGATGATTGTTAGCATTTTTCAACAATAAAGTTTTTTTTTAATCAAGGTATTCACATTACTGACAGAATGCTATTACACACTTACATGACTACAGTACAGTGTAAACATAACTTTCTTATGCACTGGAAAATTTAAAAATTTGCATGACTTGCCTTATTGTCACACTCATTTTATTGCAGTGACCTGGATCCAAGCCTGCAGTATCTCTGAGGTATCCTGTACTTGGTATTGTCAGTCTTTTTTTTTTTTTTTTGGTACCCGGGATCAAACTCTGGCCCTTGCAAGGCAGGTGGTGGCACCACTGAGCTAAATGCCTGGCCCTGTCAGTCTTTTTAAATTTAGCCATTCTCATAAGTGTGTGGTGGTACAGTATCTCATTGTAGTTTTAATTTACATTTGTTGAATAGTCATGCTAATAATCTTTTCATGTGCTTATTGACCATATATGTATTTTTTATAACTTGAAATATTTTGCCCATTTTTTAAAAATTTTAAATTGCATTTTATTATTTAAATTGTATTCTGGCCAGGCATGGTAGTGCATGCCTGTAATCCCATCACTTGAGAGGCTGAGGCAGGAGGATCACTACATGTTCAAAGCCACCCTGGACTACATAGCAAGATCCTCTTTATAAATAACAAATAGCATTCTGGATACAAGTTTTCACTTTTTATTTATTTATTTATTTCCAGTACTGGGGATTGAACTCAGGACCTTGCACTTGCCAGGCAGGTGCAGCTCCACTGAGCTGTATTCTGGATACAAGCTCTTTGTCAGATACATGTTTTGGAAATATTATTTAATTCTAGACTTCCTTTTTATTTTCCTACTTGTATCTTTTGAAGAAAACAGGTATTCAGTTTTTCTTTTATTACTAGCACTATGCTCTAACCAGCTGAGCTAACTGCCAGCTTTAAACCCTTCTTTTAATGGTTTGTTTTTTTTTTTTTTGGTACCAGGGATCAAACTCAGGACCTTGAACCTGAGAGGCAGGCGGCAGAACCACTGAGCTAAATCCCTGGCCCTGGTTTGTATTTTTTATGTCCTGAGAAGTCTGCCTGCTCAAATGTCACAAAGGTCATCTATGTTTTCCTCTGGAAATTTTATAGTTTTTCCTTTCACAGTTACTGATACATTTTGAGTTCATTTTTGTGTATAATAAAGATAAGAATTGGAGTTCTTGGGCTGGGGATTTAGCTTAGTGGCACCCCACCTGCCTCACAAGCGCAAGGTCCTGAGTTCAATCCCGTACCAAAGAAAAAAAAAATTGGGGTTCTATTTTTTTTCCTAATAGATATCCAAGTATTCTAAGACCATTTGTTGAACTGTTATTACACACAGACACGCACGCACACACACGCTAAATGCCTTGGCACCTTTTTTGAAACTTTGTTGCCCACGTCTTTCCAATATGAAGATTAGAATTGACTTACTAAATTTTAGGGGAAAAAGAGCCTGATGGGATTGGGATTGCATTGGCTCTTTAGATTAACTGGGGAAGAACTGACATCCTAACAATACAGATTCTTCCCAACCCACGAGCATGGTAAAGTATATCTCTCCACTTATTCGCTTTTAATGTTTTTTAGCTTTCATTGTGCATATCTTGCAAATATTTTGTTAAACTTACCCTAGGTATTTTTTTCTGATTTTTTAGCACTATTGAAAATATTTTAAAATTTTAAATGCAATTTTTTTTGTTGTTTTCATTTTTGTTTTTGGTACCAGGGATTGAACTTGGGACCTTCTGCTTTTGAGGCAGGTGGCGGAACCACTGAGCTAAATCCCCAGCCCGCAATTGTTTTTTATATTGGACTTTGTACCCTGCAATTTTGCTAATTTCTCAGTTCTGATAGCTTATTGTGGATTCTTAGAGGTTTACATCCACAATCATGTAGTCTGCAATAAAGATGGCTTCACTTCTTTCTGACCTGTACTTGTACCTTTTTCTTGTCTACTTTAGTGTCTTGAACCTCTGATACAGTGTTATATAGAAATGGAGAGAGCAGATGCCATTACCTCGATCCTGGTTTTAAGGGGAAATCATCCAGTCTTTTACCCTTTCCAATGCTGCTCCTTTAGTGCAGAGCTGCACTTCCAGCCATTGCTCCTTCCACAGAAAATGATCCACCAGATGCAATGTGCAGAACTCTGCCCCGTGGGGTTTCCTTTGACCACTGTCCTCAGGACCACTGTGAGTGGGGTTGTACCAGTTTCCTGGCTTGAGTTTAATTTCCTTCTTTGGTCACCTGGTCCTAGGACATTCTCAGAGGCTACGGACGCGGGCTGAGGGAGAGGTGGAATAGCAGGGTGGTTGCCATAAAGCTTAGCTGGGCATGGCCTAGTGGCATGCTGGAAGTTATGCAGAGCCAGGGATGGGGGCTCATACCTATAATCCCAGCACTTTGGGGAGGCTCAGTCAAGAGGATGGCAGGTTCCAAGACCAGCCTGGGCAATTTACTGAAACCCTGCCTCAAAATTACGAAAGAAGGGCGAATACAGAAGTTTCCCCTTATCTGCACAGGATGTATCTAAGACCCCCCAACCATGGATGCCTCAAAATGGATAATACTAGCCTCTGTAATAGACTCTTCATATATCTGTAATAAAGTTTAGTTATAAACAAGGCACAGTAAGAGATTAGCAACAATCATAAAACAGAGCCAGAAGTGATAGCACACACCTGTAACCCCAGCTGCTCAGGAGGCTGAGGCAAGATGATTGCAAGTTTGAAGCCAGCCTGGGTAACTTAGTACTTGCCTCAAAATAAAGAATAAAAGGGGCTGGGGATGTAGCTCATTGCTCTCTGGGTTCTGTCCCAAGTACTGCAGTCAATAAAATAGAACGGGGTGGGGATTTAGCTCAGTGGTCCCGGTGCCTGCCTCGCAAGGTCCTGAGTTTGAGCCCCAGTACCAAAAAATTACAACAATACAATAAATTACTTATGAATTATTCTTCCTGGAATTTTCATTTAATATTTGAACTATGACCAGGAATAACAAACCACAGAAAGTAAAATCACCCATATGACACCATGGCTGGGGGTAGGGGTGGGGACCCTGTAGTTCACAGAGAACTGTTCACTCGCCTGTGGCCCTGGGATCTTTGGAGAGTAACTGTCACTCTGGCCCTGCCTGACAGGGTTCTGGGGCATTTGGTCACAGGTGTTTACAATGTGCCGTTCACAGGCTGCTCCTTTATCCTGCCTAACCCCTAAGTGACCCAGTGTCCCTCCTATAAGAAACTTGTCTAATTGGCAGATGCCCTTGTGCCCTGCATCCACTTTTTCCCTCTGAAGGGCCCTGACTGGGAGTAGAGTTCAGTTTGAGGGTGGGGAGCTGGTCAGTGTATCACTGAGGAAGCAGCATAGCAAAATTCCCTGGTTATTCAGAAACCAGGGAGAATCGGGCAATGCGCCTCGCAGGGCCAATGGGAAGGGGCAGCTGCTCAGGATGCACACATTCAGCCAGGCAGTGGGGAGCAAGGGAGAACAAGGGACCCATGACCTTTCTCAGGGTCCTAGGTGTGACCTAAGCGGGTTATCCCCAGCAGAGCTCCAGCTGATGGATTTAGAGCAAGCAAACATGATCCATGGAATGACACTGACTGAGATGTGGTTGCAGGCCTGCCTAGGAAGTCTACCGCGGGGTGAGGATGAGTCAGGCTGCATCTGGCTGTCCTCAGGTAGGTGGCCAACAGGAGGTGGTTGCATAAAGCACACATCTAGACCAATTGCAGCGGGAAACTAGGAGATGAAAACTATAAACTGTATCAAGTGTGATTAAACCTGGCTTTCGGTGTCAGTCTAACATTCCAAGTGGATGTTGAGGCCACACAAAATTGTAGGAATTCATTACAGATGGCATAGCTTCAAAGTCTTAGTTTTTGTTTTTGTTTTTGTTTTTGTTTTTTGTTTTTTGAGACAGTGTCTTACTTTTGTCATTGCTGAGACACCCAACACCTAAAGTTAAAAGAGAAAAGGTTTATTTTAGCTCACAGTTTATAGAGGTTTCAGTCCATAGTTGTCTGGCTTCAAGGCAGGGCCGCATAGCAGAGGGGCATGCAGAGGAGAAACAGTTCAAGGCAAAGCAGGGCAGGCAGAAAGCAGCAAAGCAGTAGCCCTCTTTCTGTCTCTCATATTCCATCCAGATTACCTGCCCTTAGGGTGTGTAGCACACCCAGAGTGAGGCTCCCTTAATCCCAGCATCACACACACTTAATCCTAGCATCACAAAGGCCGGGGCTGTAGTTCAATGGCACAGGGCCTGCCTGAGAAGCGTGAGGCCCTAAGTATGATTCCCTATACCAAAAAAGAAAAGACAAAAAAAAAAAAAATCCTAGCATCACACACTCTAGACCCAGTCACCTCAGAAAAACCCCATCCATGACTACATGAAGTTTTCTAGACATCTACATACAAGCCTTAACAGACAGGGTATCACTGTATATTTCAGGCTGGCCTTAAATTCCAAGCAATCTTCCTGCCTCAGCCTCCTGAGTGCTAGGATTACACGCATGCGCCACCTCACCCGGCTACTTGAGAGTCCTCAGGGTCTGAACTGTGATGCACACACCATCCTGTCTACCACTGATGCTTCCGCTGGCACCTGGGCCCAGTGGCAGAGTAGCCTGCCTGACAGACAGAACTATTGACAATTCCTTCTTTTGTTCTGGGCCCCATTCAAAACTGACAGCCTTTTAGGTTATTCAGAAAATGAGCCAGAGAAGAATCTAGTGAGTGCATGTGACCTCCAAACCCAAACCCAACTGGACCCTATACCTCTATCTTCATGATAGGAGGGGCCAGATGTACAATTAACCTTTCACCTTAAAAGGGATGTCTCAGCACATCCCAAGCCATGGGCCTCCTAGAAACCTCACTGAATTTTCATGGGACTTGTTCCCCATGCTTTGGCATACAGATGCCTTATTGAGGTGGCTAGAGTAGTTGCTACTTCCAATCAGCATGATATGATGGCTAGATTAGACCAGTGTGGCATTCTGTGGAGTAGAGAACAATTTCTCTGTGGACTTTTTTTGTTTTGTTTTGTTTTGAGACAAGTTCTCACTATGTAGCCCAGGCTGCCCTCAAGGTCATGGCAAGCCTCCTCCATCAGCCTCCCAAGTCCTGGGATTACAGGTGTGTGCCACCACACCCAGCTGTCTGCAGACTACATTATGACAGATGACTGGGGAGTTGATATAATTCCAAGTCTGGATAAAGATAAGTATTGCTAGCCCTACCAGCTCACAAAAGCAAACAACATTTGATAGTCTTTACTAAAAACAATCAAGAAAAAAGCATTCATCAGACCAATATCTGCATACTTTGTTCTAGGGGATGCATTGATTTGCTCCAGCAGTGAAACAATATCTGGGCATGGCAGCTGCAGTTGGAATCACAACCTAATTAAGTTTATGATAATCCACTTCCTTGTCCAAGCCCCATTTTAGATCAGTGCAGACTGGACAGCTAAACTGAATGGGAATTCAGTAGGAGTCACTGCTCTGTATTTTAGAAATCCCATTGACTGGTGATAGCACTACACTCTGCATTCTCCAGGAAAGCTCTGCAGCTCTTGGTTTACTGTTTTCTCAGAGATGTGTGTTTATGTGGTTGATCTTCCAGACTTTATTTTACATTTCATTTTCCAAATAAGTGCAATTTACATTGTCTCTGAAACTGAGTTTCTTCATCTCTAAATACAGATAATGATGCCAGCCCGATCTGTGATCACAGGTTGTGGTAAGGCTCAAATGAGGTCGTGTAAATTAAAGTACCTGGTAAACTGAGCTAGGCATGGTAGCACCTGCCTGTTATCCCAGCACCCAGGAGGCTGAGGCAGGAGGATCACCATAAATTCGAGGCCAGCCTGGGCTACACAGTGAGACCATGTCTCAAACAAGCAACAACAACAAATGTACATGGTAAAGTGGAGAATCCTGTGCAGGATATATGGAAGAATGACTATAACTATTAATGCCCCCAGTCCTTCCCCTTTTTTTTTTTATTGGTACCAGGGATCGAACCCGGGTCCTTGCACTTGCAAGGCAGGAGGAGAAACCACTGAGCTAAATCCCTGGCCCCCTTCCCCTTTACATAGAAAAATTGAGATGATAGTCCTCATGTTTCTGTTTCTATCAAGGGTCTTTTTATTGTTTTTATTGTTGCAAGTTCTGTGCTTGGAAGCAACACCAACAAAAATATAAAACAAGGGCCAGGGATTTAGCTCAGTGGTTCCAGTGCCTGCCTCGCAAGCCCAAGGTCCCGAGTTCAAAAAAAAAAAAAAAAAAAAATATATATATATATATATATATATATGTATGTATGTATGTGTGTGTGTAGAACAAAACCAAAAAAAAGAAGGGATGCTCCCAGAAGTTCTACAAAGGAGTAGATCAGAGCTGCAAGGATAACTGTCACCTTGATATATTGCTAATGTTCCCCTCATGGCAGAGGACATCTGCCCATTGGTACTGAGAGTATTTCTGGATGACCGCCCTGCATTGTCAACTCTCTTTAGATATTGCCAGGAAATGAGCCAGGCATGGTGGCACATGCTTGTAATCCCAGCACTCTGGAGGCTGAGGCAGGAGGATCACTTTGAGTTCAAGGCCAGCCTTGGCTATATAGTGATTTCAAGACCAGCCTGAACTACACAGTCAGAACCTGTCTCAAAAAACAAAAAACAAAAAAGGAAGGAAATTGCCCCAAAGTGAGGGAAAAGTCCTCGCCTAAGGTGGCACCCCACTCGGGACAGTGTGCATTTCTGTTACTGGCTGGGGTTGGGGTGTAAGCCTGGCCCCACATTCCATGAAGGCCATCCCAGCTTTCCATGGGCTCACCTGAGGTATCGTCCAGAGTACTTCACAAACTAACTCATCTAAGGCCACTTCCTTCCCCTCCCCTGTAGGTGTTGAACCCAAGGACACCCA